GGATGGATGGAACGCTTGGTGGACCAGAGGCACGGGAATCGATCCCATGTGTAATGTAGGGCACCTCCGACCACTGCGCTACGCGCGCCCACATCGTAAGCCAACATGCAGGAAAACATTCTTGTCACAGTAAGGTAAGGCTTTGAGCTCATAAGGGTAAGATAAAAGATAAAACCTGAAACGAAAAGCAAACATATAGTTCTTAAAATATAACCGTTACCTGGGCGGCATCAGCGTATCCTAGCTGTGTTACACCCAACTCATCAGCGCTATCGAAATACAAATGCTGAATAATTTGTCTCTCCGCTGTCCGAACTCTACAGATTGGACATGTTTTCGAGCGCTGCAACTTAGCAGTGTGAAGAAACAAACTGTGTAATTTGACGATTCTCAGTAACTTTTCATACCTGAACCCATTTACTGATACATACATAGTGAAATGTATGGCCACAATGCAGAGCAGCAATATCGTGGAGGAAAAACATAGATGTGCAGATGACGCATCTTCCACGACCAACGCTCATTAGCTTTCTTATCTTTAAATATTTCACAGCCTGAAATCAATTTCTAGTAAGAGGAGCTATTGACAACTAAAATGAATCATAGTGGACAATAAGATTTGCTTTTATCTTCAGTATATATGGTACCTGAAACAGGTTTTATCGAATTGTTAACGCCATTTCTAGTTAATCTTAGGGGATTTGCGGTCGAAAACGACTTGGCTTAGTCTTAGTCTACGCAGCAAACCATGGTAGCTAGCCCGATACCCGTAACGATATCAACTTGTTGTAAACCGATTTTCACTTCCACTTTGTTAGCAAATCAATGAAGTACCAACAAAGCTCTCGAACTTTCTCGGCTCTGTGTACTTTAACCAGATTTATTTGCAAGCGATACTTGGATACTTAGATGGCCCGCCTCCACTGGTTATGCAGGCCCCAGCATAATTCCTAATTTTTGGAGTGTTGCTGGTTTAGCCATGGTTCCTTGGAGCTCGGAGGTCAGCCTAGCCGAATTCTGCCTCAGGTCGTCACCACCACAGTCAGTCGCCGCTCTTGTGGAACAGAGGGGGATTTGCCACCACGCGACTTGTTTGATACAAGGACGGTGGTGGATTCAGGTATTGGTTTACTCCTAGCTGGGCTTCCTCCTGATGGAAACTCCTTCTCAGCTTGGGAGACCCTGCCGGGAGGATGAACCTCTCGCTATACATCACAGCCCGACACCCAGGAACACCTCTCAGCCACGATGAGGCGGTAAACCGTTGGGAGGACAACTGTTCTTCATTAATATGATTACACGACCCAACACCACATATGTCACTATGTGCGGATCCCAGCACTTCTTGCATTCCTCGTATCCACCGTTCACGAAGGTCTTCAAACTTTCCATTTGGGTGTACGTTCGGATACTGCTTGAGAATTTTCGTCACCCTTGAATGAATGCTGGACAAGTCGACTCTCACTGAAATCCTAACACAGCCGTGCAGGGGCGCTGTCACGTGGAATAGAGCGAATGAGCTTGTTCATGACAAGTTAGTCTGGCATCACTTTTTCGAACCCGAGGAATGAAGGATTGGTGGGTACTGGGCACGGACGAGCCAGCGTCTCGGCAGGTTAGGCCGCAGCTATCAATTATTGTAATAAAATAAACAACACGGCAAAGCTTTCGGCGTTGAACAATATTCCAGAGATCCACCGTGCATTAAACTTCACTAAGCACCATTAGAGGTGACTGGATCCACATCTGACCTTTACAATGACTCGCGGTGGTCTACCGATGTATCGAGCCAGTACTGCCATCTTCCCAGGGAAGTCTGGTATCAATTCGCCGACACCGGAGATACGCAGGGCTTCTTGAGACTGGGGCGCGGGGATCAATCCTATGTGTATTGCAGGGCGCTCACCCGCCAGTATCTATTTTTATAGAAAAAAATGCGATAGTGTGACTACAATGAGATTCACACAGGCAGTTCGGCAGTGATCTTTATAAACATTGTAAAAGAGACCACAAGAGCGGATCAGAATCTCCGAAAACTACTCTTTTACTCAACGGTTACTCTTCGCTGTAAAATACCGATATACAAGTCAAGAGAAGCCGTCGGGAATTGGAATTTCTCGTAACTCTTAAGAGAACTTCTTTTAAAGGCGAACTTAACAGCAAACCAGACTCGATCTCTTATATGCTATGAAAAACTTAAAAGACAGAGATGAACAAAAGCGCTTCTGATGGATTTCTGAAATCCTGAATCATTATGAAATTAGAATGTACTTTATGCAAACGCCGATGGCCAACAAAGGTGAATATAGTAGTCCAAAAGATCGAAACAGGAACAGCTTTTCTAGAAAAAAAAGTCCTACACCAACAGAGTTCGACATATTCTGTGGGACACGTGGGCCATCACTATCTACAACTAAAGATTGTATCTAGTCTTCACCTCCCGCCGGTTTACCGACTCGTCGTGGCTGGGAGAGTGTTCCCGCGTGTTGGACTGGTAAGTACAGCGGTAAATTCATCCTCCTAGCAGGGCTTTCCAAGCTGAGGTGTCCAGCGTTTCTATCATTGAGCCCAGCTAAGAGTAAACTGATACCAAAATCCACCACCGTCCTGGTATCAAATAGTCGCATGGTGGCAAATCACCTTCTGATCCACAAAGGCTCCGACTGCCTGTGGTGGTGACGACCTGGGGCAGACTTTGGCCAGGCTGACCTCGAGAATCCAGGCACCACAATGGCTAAACCAGCAAAACTCCGAAAAAATGGAAATTATGCTGGGCATCGCACAATCTGCGAAGACAGGCCATCCGAGTATCCAAAGAAGTATATACTCTCAATTCCACTCATAAAACAGGAACCATGCGTGGACTAAGGTCCTGAAGAAGAACAGATAGCAGTGCCGCTCCTCTCCTGTTGCCAGTACGCTACGTGTCTATAGTCCATAAACAGAAGAATATCTACGATATTAATGGAAGTTCCAAAGTAAAACAAAGATCGTCGCAACATTTAATTAATGCGACAGAAAATTCATCTAGGTGTGTCTGCACCGTAATTGCGTCCTATCGCATGAACATGACATCGCCATTCATGAACAGGCTTCTGTACCTAATTTGTTCGAGAGTTTTTTTTACTAGTTGGTAGAATATTGTCCTGTAAATATTGCAGCACGATCGCCAAGAAGTCGTCAGATTACTAGTTACTTGACCTTTAACCTTTGTTATTTTGACTTTCTCATTATTCGACGTTTTTCTTCAATAAGTAGACACGAGGTTGTCATTACAGAATTTATTAGGGTACAATAACTGACGTTTCGGCGGTTTCGCCTTCTTCAGAGCCGTTTATTTGTTGTAAGTATCTAAGTCAATTGGTGGATAGCAGCCACAAAGAGTAATACACAGGCGATACCTCATTATTCTTTTGATTCTCTGAGCGAAAACAAGTTGCCAGATCTGATATCTTTAGCAAATGAAGTTGAATTTCCTTTTTTTCTTGCCATATTGTGGTACCCAATCTTGTAGTAGCATAAAGTTTTTTATAGCAGCTTTTTCTTACTTCTCTTCCTCTTTTTTCCCTTTTTTTTTCCTTCTCTTTTTCGTCTATCAATAGACCATGTTTGACTAGTTTGTTCGTTTCGGTTTCAAAATGAAGCCGTTTTATTTCAGGAATCCCTGTATTTACTCAATTTATTAACCGTCAATGCCCTAGTTCTCCAAAAATTTCTCTTCACATTCATCTCAAATGCTTTAGTTGCTTTGCCAGGCAATGTATATTCCGGTAAGAGGTCCTTCTTTTCTCTAGAGTCCCTGTTCATGACTTTCTTCTAACGCACCTTATAGGTCGATCGCGAGACGAAGTTTCGTTTGCCTGTACCCGGGGAAGATGGAGATCTTCGAGAACATCGTGCTGTCAAGTGCATTGCCTCGAACAGAGAGAAGAACTTCATAGCTGTGATCACATCAGACTGCATATACATCTGGCTCTCTCATGTAAGTACAACTTGTAGTCGCTTTTTACTTACTGCCTACTTTTATATTCCCAAAACTCCGGACTGAGGTGTCTGCAGTGGGGATCGAACTCGCAATTAGCCTTTTCCAGCGGCTAACGCGTTCACCACACCGTGCCGGTCCATCGTTTCGCCTTTCTCTAACCCGTATCGTTAATGACGGGACTGAGCGAATGGCAAAACGAAGAACCGTATGGTGTGGTTGTGAACGCGTTAGCCCACGGAAAGGGTAATAACGAGGGTCGGTCCCCACCGCAGTCACCAGCGGTCCGAAGTTTTGCAAATATCTCAGCATTATTGTGGTTGTAGAACAGATTGTTTAATCTTCCATCTTATTTATTTTCATTGTTATATCTGAAACCAATTTTCAGCCCCACCTTCTACTCTGTACTCTGAGGATATCAGCCGGGGATGTGATTGAAAGGGGTACATTGAATAAAGCTTACTGGAATTATGATTCTTCTCATATTGTAATTACGGTCAGTTCGTTATTATGTGTTCGTGACTTGATACTTAGTTTTAGTCTAGATCCAGCTCTTATTATTGGGCAATATGCAATATGAGGCGTGTGTAGCTCAGTGGTCAAAGGCGCCCTTCTGTACACATGGGTCCGATCCCCGTTCCCCAGACTGATCAAGCTCTTCATCCGTCCGGGGTCGGCATACTGGTACCAGGCTTGTGTGGGAGGATATCAGCACTGAGTACATCGGTAGACTACCGTGAGTTATTATAAAGCCCAGATATGTATTCATTCACCTCTAGCGATGCTTAATGAAGTCGGATGCATGATGCATCCTTCAGTGTACCGCTCTGGATCAACGCCGAGGGCTTTATCCTTTCTTTTATACAGTGCTGTGGATTTTGTAGAAGTTGAGCTGCCACTTTCTATAGAGTAGTACGAAAATTGGCTTGGTTGTGTTTGTCAAATGATGTCGAGGTCTCAGTTACTTTATGGAACACTGATTACGTTCTATGTTTCCACTTATTCTTTTTCCATTTAGACCTCTCGTAACAATTTGTTGATTTATCGAGTAAACATGTCGGGTGAGAACTGCTACAATCTCATTGACCCTCCTGACGTCAAGCTTCGTCGTACCTCGCAAGAATTGTTTCTTCATGGGCCTCGTCCTTCTCTATCCTTGTTTCCATCTGTTGTTGTCAATCTGGCAGCTTCAGCTGCATGGTATGTTTGTGCAGTCAAACTATTAGCAACTCTGGAACTAGCTTTTAAGTTACATGTTCTTGATTTTCGTATTATAGTTGAAAGGTTATTGAGCGAACGTTCTTCAACCTTGGTGAGATTTACTTATTTGGATATCGTTTTGTTGCTAAGTTTAAAATATACTTTTTATCTATCTATGTTCTTACGAATTACCGTTATTGAACGGACTCGAGGTTAGTGTAAGTTGCCACTGTTGTTTTTGTTATCGTTTTGTTGTTGTTTGATGTTTCACTCGCAACAGCACGGCTCTAAGAAAGGCAAAATCGCCGAAAGGCCGGCCACCAAACAACAACAACAACAGAAGCCTACACTAACTTCGCACAAGCTCAACGAGGGCAGTTCGTAGGAACTTGTATGGATATATTGATTATTTATGCCGAGGTTTATAGGAAGTTGGCCATTTGAGTTATTTTTACTTTGTCGTTCCCAGATATGGTGCCGTTATAGTCAAGTTAACTGGGTATTATGCATAAGATCTTGTCAACCTTGCTCTCATAATAGTACTGTGCTCGCACCACGAACTACATGGTATTTTCAGCTGTGTTCCTCTGAGAGAGGAATTATTTGTTTGCTTACGAAATGGATTTATTCACCATATATCATGGGAAGGTCAAGTTCGTGCAGATTATTCGATAAAGCTGTCAGCCGTGCCATTCGCACACGATCAACTGCAATCAAAACGTTCGTTTTTCTCCTAGATACCATATCTGTTTTTCCTACTTGACTCTGGAGAGTTTTATAAGCACAGTGTCGTTTCACATATTCTTACTAAGTCAACCATTCAGAGGAGAGATTTTCGTTTTTAATTAATTGGTAGAGATTTCCTCCCAACGGTTTACCGCCTCATCATGGCTGGGAGATGTTCCTGAGTATCCGGCTGCGACGTACAGCAGGGAAATTAATCGTTTCAGCAAGGTTTTCCAAGTTGAAAAGGAGTCCGGGTTTCCAGCAGGAAGCCTAGCTAAGAGCAAACCAATATCAGCATCCACCACCGTCCTGGCATCAAAGTCGCATGTTGACAAATCTCCCTCTAATGCACAAGGGCTGGGACTGCCTGTAGTGGTGAAGGCCTAGGGCAGACTTTGGCTAGGCTGACCTCTGGACTCCAGGGAACCACAGTGGCTAAACGATCAAAACTCCGATGAAATGGAAATTTTGTTGAAGCTGGCACAACTAGTGAGGACGGGCCATCCAAATATCGAAGTAAGGAAGTAAGACAGACATTCATTCAGCACCTTACATTGATTTAAAATGAATAAAACCTGTTTTTTAAAGTTCCTTAACTCCACTTAATCCAATGTGTTTTTTTAGTGAATATTTCGAAATCTTCTAAGAAAGCTCAGTAGTACTAGCTGTTATTTCATTATTGCCTTTCTTGATTTTTTCCATATAGTGGCAATTTACCGTTAGAAATATTCGTTATATATCGTGAAAATTAGTTCTACGGTTCATGCTCAGAGGCGGGTACTTCTTAACAGTATTGGAAGAACGCAGACCCACCTCGAAAGACGAAGAACTATTTCCTGTAATTTAAATAATGAGTTTAATGAAATATAACCACAACGATGCTGAGAAATTCGCAAAACACCGCAGCTATCTGAGGTAGGGAACGAACGCGCTATTACCCTTTCCGGGGGCTGACGCGTTCACTACCTCACCAGGCGGGTCATTCGTTCCGCTTTTCTGTCAACGGCGTTTTAACCTATAGCTGCTATCTGCAATCACCCGTGGGTTTGAGTAGGTTTAGCTCCAGTTTTTTCTTCAACATGTTGCTTTTTTTGAAAACATAACACTTCCATTTAGATTCCGTTGAGACAGTTACCTATTTTTATTAGGATTCCTCTTGAAATCTATGCTTATGTCAAAACTGTACTTTCAGCTGAATATGTTACATATCATGTCGCACACGTGGTTGACGCCGTGTATGCTCCCCTTGTTGGTGGATACTGCATCGTCCTTTCAGACGGTCGTGCAGCTCTTCTGACATCCACGGACTCACAGTTCCACCCAAATGTAGTTGAAAAACGTGAACTTTGTATCTGTGCTTTGTAACTTGAATATTTACAGAGCATTCTTGGTGTGTGGGCACTCCACATGAAGGATGCGGCTTGCACTGATGTTAACCATAAATTTCGTTTACTAACATTTGGATGCGTCAAGTGAGTTAAGATTACGGCAGTCGTTCAGTTTGTGCACTGAAGTGCCAATGAAAAGTGTTCTGGTTGACTAAAAATAATTTTTTAGCGGTGATGTGGCTGCGTATCACCTTGACGATGCCGATGGTTCACTTGTCCAAACTTTTCGAGTTGCTCTCAAGGTTCAGAATGGTCCAGGTAATACTTGAGTTTTAAATATTAGCAAATGTTCTAAATACTTGCTGTTTTAGATGTAGTAAATCGCGTAGGTAGCGTATCCGATATAAAAGTGTTAACCAATGGAGGGGCTTTCGTCGCTGTCTGGTCTTCGAAGAAATCGCCCATGAGCAATGGTGCAGATTTTGCTGGCATTTCCCAGTTGCCACCTACATTTGCAGTGTTCACTCCATTCGGGACGCAAACGTGGTGCTCCCTTGAGTCCATCGTTGATAGGTCGGTTAGATTTTTTCGGTTGATTTTTTTAATGCTTGAATCACGGGCGTGTGTAGCGCAGTGGTCGGAGGAGCCCTGCAATACGCATAGGATCGATCCCGCACTCCAGGTTTACCAAGTCCTTCATCCCTCCGAGGTCACCAAATTGGTACCAGAATTCTCTGGGGTGGGATAACAGCACTGGCTCGATGCTTCAGTAGGCCGCCGGGAGCCAATGTAAAAGCTAAGTAAAGGTATTCATTCAATCAGCTCCAACGATCCTTAATCGTAGTAGTCGTTTCCATGACAGATCCTTCAGGAATTGATCGACGCCTAGAGCTTTGTCATTTAGCTTTATGTTTGATATGTCGACTGTTTAAGAATATTCCCATTACTTTGAAGGATTAAGAGTATTTGATTTTGCAAGTTGTTCAGCGAAGGAGCTCAAGCTGTTTCGTATACCTCAGTGGATTGGGGACCTGAAGGATACCACATCTGGTTAGGTCGCAGTGATGGCTTAGCGATTTTTCCAATGGCTAGATCTGCTGCGCTATGGAATCCAGTTATGGTTCGTTATTAGTTTTGCGAGTCTTATTATCAAATTTCAATCCCTATTTCTCAGGACCATGCAGATCATGTGGTGTTACTCTGCAGTTCTCGGGTTTTTATTAGTCCGCAGAGAGATCGAGAAGGTGTTGCAAGTGCTCCTCATGCTGTCTGGACAACACTTAATTCTCCGCACGAATATATTGCTTCGAATTGGCCCATACGTGTACGAACTTTGTGATATCGTTACTTTTAATCCTGTTTTCCAGTTGCGATTTCAATGTGACCTTCATTTTTCTTTCTAGTATGCCGCCGTGAATTTGAACGCTGCGAAAACTCTTGTTTTGGCCGGATTACGAGGTCTAGCGCATTGCAATCTTTCATCTGGTAGATGGAAAATTTTTGGCAACGAAAGTCATGTGAGCGATTACTTCACTTTGTTGGAAATTTGGCACATAATCTACCACTTATCCTTTGCTTTGAGTGATTTTTGCACAGAAACCTTATAGATAAAGTTATAATTAATTCCAGGAGTCTTCATTAATGGTAACAGGAGGTGTCTTTGTATGGAATGGTATGATAGGCGTGGCGTGCTACGATATGAATTCCATTCGTGAACAACTTCGATTCTATCCAATTAATAAGAAACTTGATAATCGATTTGCCTCTACATACAATCTGGAGTACCGTGTCATTATGATGTCGTTGAGGTGAATTTGTTTTCCTCTTAACTATCATGTTCGACCTGCACTTTAATAATCATTGGCTGAGTTTTTAAGTTGCTTTCTTTTGTAGCTCAAGACCACACCGAGGAAAAGTTAATGCCGTGGTAATTGTAATGTGGAAAGGTTTCCGTTATGACGCAGTATATAGTAACTCGACAATTGTCTTTTCGAATTCATGAGGAAATTGATGAAGTTTGTTGATTAAGCTGAGAACTAACGATACATATTACTTTTATAAGCTGAGTGGAGTTGGAAGGGAACGGCAACCAGGGTTATATATATATATATATAAATATACATACATATATATACACATGGGTGGATAGCACAGTGGTAGTTATGTCAGTCATCGCGGGCGAGGCGTTAGCTCGATTCCGCTCCGGGTCATCCAAGTCTCTCATCTCTTCGGAGTCGCGAAATTGGTACAGGACTTGTTCGGGAAAAAATTGCTCTCTACAATCCAATTGGGAACGCTCCAGTCTGGCTATCTAAGGACTCCAGGGAAAATCGACTCGACCAGCATTCTACGACATTCGAAATGAAATCAAAATCCTCAAGCAACAGCCGAAGCCACACGTAAAATTTGGAAGGCCGTCGTGAAAAATGGATGCAAGGAAACGAATCGAATGTGAGAAGTGCGTGCTGCGTTCCGCACCGTAGATGTGAAGACGAGTCATAGGAAAATAATAGTATACATACATGTGTATGTATATGTACATATGTAGGGCACATGAAGCGCAATGATCGTAGGAGCCTTGCAACACACGTGGGATCGATCCTGGCACCCAAGGTTCACCAAGCCCTCCATCCCTCCGGGGTTGGCGAATCGGTACCAGACTTGTCTTGGGGGGATGGGATAGGTAGCACTGGCTCGATACATCAGTATGTCACCGCGGGACAACGACAGATGTGCATTCATTCACCTCCAGCGATGCTTAAAGAAGTCGGATTCATGGTACATCCCTCAGGGATTGATCAACGCCGACAGCTTTATCCTCTTTATGTATACTTTTTCATTGCTATGTTTTCTCATTTACGGCTATTTTTTGTTGCTATTCATTACATCTCAACCATTTTAAGTACTTTATTATCCACTTATTTACTCTCGATCTCTCTGTTTATTCCTCACGAATCTGTCTGCTATTTTTCACATCACTATTTCATGCAGTTTAAGTAGGTTCGTTTGACAAAGAATCCTTTATACGCGAATGGTGGTAGGGACTTCTAGTAGTTCATGTAACTAATAATTTCAGTGTTATGATTATTTTAGAGGTGACGCACTGGTGACGTTCGATGTCGATGGAAGAATATTAATTTATCATTTACGGTCAAATAGCAAATTGGAGAATGTTGAGAAAGTGAGTTTTTCGGACGAAGTTAAGGTCAAAGATCCTAAGATTTGTTTATCAGGTTTCTACGGATCGTGTTGCTGAAGTTCGTGTCGGCGATTTGGTAACGCATCCGGCTTGCCTGGTTTCTATCCATTTAACGAAACTGAGTTTAGAAACTTGTAAGCGGTTTTTTTTTATTTTTATCAAGCACTTACAACTAGTTCACATGTATTGGTCATATATATCATTATATAGCAGCATCATCGCTTTTCTCTGATGTGGGCACAGTTCTTATTAATGTTTCTGGACGCTTATTGACGCTTAATCCCCATAAATCGGCAAAAGATGACGAGTCGGATGAGTCGTACCAGGTATTTTAATTACTTTACAACGCAGGCTGTCAGTTCGGTCGGGAAGTCCACTTAAGAGTGGGTTTATAATGTGCCAGAGCACATGGGACTATCTGCGGTTGCAAAAGAATTGTAAAAATTTGCGCAGAATGTGCGATGGTTTTCGTGTCCCTGTTCGTAGTGGTAGTAATACACAGCCATATTCAGCTGGAATTACACTTGGTGGAGTTAAGGTGGTGGTGGCTCATCCACTACAAGAATAACATATTTCAATATTTGTCTGCATAAAAAAAGGATAAGGCTCTCGGTCTTGATCAATCCCTGAGGAATGTCCCATTCATTCGACTTCATTAAGTATCGTTGGAGGTGATTGAATGCATATTTGGCCTTTACAACGACTCGCGGTGGCCTGCCGACGTATCGAGCCAGTGCTGCTGCCCTCCCAGACAAGTTTAGTACCAATTTGCCGACCCCGTGGGGATAGAGGGCTTGATGGGCTATGGGCGCGGGGATCGATACCACGTGCGTGCCGTAGTGGCGCCTCCAACCACTGAGCCATATGCGCTCTTGTCTGAATAGTTTGGGAGGTATGCAAATGAAATAAAGGAAGAGATCCTCGTTTTACTTGCAGAACCAAATACATTACACATGTAGTATGGTTTCCATAATCGGATAGCCATCGATTTCGATTCATTCACAGTAGTTCCATTACATTTTCATGCACTATTTCCTTTTGATTTTTTCAAAGTTATATTTTGCCAATCTTCTTGTCTTAATGGTATTTGCCATGAAGATGACTATATTATTGGCGAAAAGAGAAACGAGTCTAACAAGATGTCAAGTTTTGGAGCAATATTTCTTTTCTCACGTTAGCTTTTACCAACCTTCATTTTTCTGACTAGTTGTTTAAAGGGTAATATTGGATTTAGCGTGAGTAGCTTTCTTGACGAATAAACTTTTGCTGTATGTCGAACGCCGACATCCAGGAAGTGAAAAATCCTAGGAGAGAGACACCGTATGATAAAAATGTGAAATCATTTTGCTGTCTTTGCACAGAGCTCTGTAGTTATGAATAACAGTGGATAATCTGAAACATATCTTCTGACCGGTGGGAAGTCTTCATTGCACCCTCATGATACCACTACTGTATATATTGCTGGTAATATTTAAAGAAAAAAACTGGTTTCAAGGTGATCTTGTGAGCTGAATTTAGTTGAGTCAACCAATAATGGTAGCTTCGTTCGTGGAGAAGGTATGGCATTACCGCGCTGTCACAGAGAAAGAGCCGTATGGCGTTCCTCATCTTTTGAATGCTCTATGGATCAATTGCGGATCACGAGGAATGAGGGTTTGTGTCGAAGGATAACCTTTGATAATAGTTCAGTTATGTAATGTCTGTGAGATGTAGTGTGCGCTTGTAGGTTTGGTTACCACTTATATCTGCTCGTCGTGGTATAGTCACTCAGGACACCTCTTTCATTTCCAAAAGGATAATGCTTCCTTTCGAACTGGATATATGTCCTATAGGTCTGCGAAACTTGTTGTCACTATAGTTTTGTTCGGCGTCACGCATATCCTTTTATAATACCAAAGTTTTTTTCAGTGATATGTTCAAATGACTGCCTGGCTGTTGGTGTGGAAAGTTTACCGTTTGTTTCTTATAACGGTTCGAAAAGATCAGCTGCCGTATATACTTTGCATCGAAATAGTGAGGTAATTGGTTATTAATAGGTCTGTGGCAGTCAGTAGAGAAGTGAACAGTGAGCGTCTACCTGTCCACTACATTATCTCCACAATTTTCGTTATGTGTGCAAATATAAGGAGCAAAACTAAGCAATAAATACGTTAAGACAAAGCGCGGTCGATAAGTATTACGAGTTTGTTCAAGAATAACGTTTAATGGGTCGATAATTCATATAGATCGTTGTGTTGGTTGGCCAGTAGAATATACAGTAGCTGGTCAGATTTTTTTTTGTCTTGTGTCAGCCAAGTTATAGGTGCAATGCTCGATTTTGTGTTACTTCGCCACGCGGCGCTTCTTTCGTAACTGCTGTGAACAGTCTCGAGTTTGGGTTACAACAGTTTATAACAATAATAGCAATACAGTAATAACAATATGACGATATCTAATTAGGTGAACGGATGCGAGCAAAGCGCTTGAGCGTACATGGGAGTACTGGGATGCTTAAGTGCTGAGGCACTCAGAATATACATACATACATACATACATACACACACACACACACCAGTGTGGAGTAGTGCTCCTTAGATTCTTCTGCAATGAGTGGTGCTTTTATAGAGGAACTAGGAACATTGCTCAAAGAAAGGTTCTAAGAGATTCTCAGCTAGTGCAGTCTGATAGGGCTACTTGGACAAAGGTTCGTGAAGTAGTCTACACAAGAGTTTATACAGAAAGTACATGTGAAAACGCGCACCTGCTCGTTCGATAAGCTTATCTGAAAAGCTACACACAGGCGTATACAAAAGTTCATGTGAAGGAGATGGAATAGCTTGTACAAATGCTTTTACAACATGTACTTGTGGAAACGGTACAAAGACTTATACAGTATGAATGGGTAGATTTAAAATAATTACAAGTAAATAGTTAATTAGTAACCACATTTTCCCGGATAAGTCTGCTACCAATCTCCCGTCTCGATGGAGTGAGAGGATTGGTGGACCCAGAACGGGGTCGAGCCAGCACCGTGCGTGTGATGGTCAGCACCACTACTAATATGCCTCCCACCCTCATATATATCTACCCCAGCGTTTTTATCAGGAAGCCTAACTAAGAGTAAACCAATACCACCACGATCCGCCATCGTTTTGGTATCACGTTAGCCGCATAGTGGCAAATCTCCTTCTGATCTACAAGGACGGCGACTGCCTAGCGTGGTGAAGACCAGGGACAGTCTTTGTCTAGGCTGACCTCGGGACACCAGGTAACGACATTGGGTAAGGCAGCAAAACTCGGTAACAATGGAAATTATGCTGGGTTCCGCGCAACCGGTGAGGAAGGGCCACCCAGGTGTCCAAGTGAGGAAGTATAATAACCATAAGAATTACATGGTCCGTCACTGGATGGCAATAGTGCTTTGAAGAGTGGTTTATATGAATACAGAGGTCCACTGAATTTTGTTTACTTAAGACAAGGAATGAGATCTTAAGGTAAAGGAGCGAGAATAATACCATCTCGCCAAAATTATTTAGGGGTATCCTCCAGAACGTCATGCGAACATTGGAATGAGATAACAGGGGGTGAAAATCGATGGTCGGCAGTTACATTATCTTCACTTTGCTGATGACATCGTCCTTACAACACCAAACATTAGACAGGCGGAACGTATGCTTGCCGACTTTGATAAAGCCTGTGGAAAGATTGGTCTTCGACTAAATCTCACAAAAACGATATTCATGAAGAACGGATTGGTTTCGGATGCCCTATTAACGCTCAACGGAACGAACATCTCCGAATGCTCCAGTTATGTCTATCTAGGTCGGGAAATCAATATGATGAACGACCTAGCTCCGGAGCTGAGCAGAAGGAAACGAGCGGCTTTGGGAGCTTTCAAGAGCATCGAGGATGTAGTGAGGAGAACAAAAAACACCGGACTCCATGCCTACCTTTTCGACTCAACGGTACTTCCCGCCCTAACGTATGCGTCAGAAACCTGGTCGCTGCATAATCAGGATGGAAGAACACTCAGCGTTATCGAGGGCACAGTCGAAAGGACGATGCTAGGAGTATCCCGTTCCACACAAGTAAGGGATCGGATCCGATGGTCCGATCTGCGTCAACGATCAAAAACCAAAGATGCCGTTCTGTACGCTAAACAGTCGAAGATAAGGTGGGCCGGTCACGTAATTCGTATGAACGACAATCGATGGACAAGAGCCGTTAGTGACTGGATTCCTCGGGATGTCAAACGCACTGCAGGAAGACTACCGACTCGATGGTCAGAGTTCTTTACAAAAAGCCTTGAAGAAAGATATGATGTTCGACGAGAGCGAGCAGAACCCACTGAGCTACTCTTGCACGCGACAGGGAAAAATGGAAGATTTGCTGGTGCCCGCTCGAGTCACTCGATGATCAACGGGACATGCAGGTGATTTGTACACCGATTGTGTTTTTATGTAACTCTCTGTTTGATGTTGGGGCATGTCTCGTAGGAGTGGATGCAGTTACAGAGCTTTTCATAGCTATTTGTCGACGTAATGTGATATTTCTATTTGTCTTTGTTTTGGAAACGTTTAATTTACTCTGAAGTTGATCGTTTTCATCTTTGAATGTTGTTGTGTACGAAGACTAAGAAAAGAACCATTGGTATTATGGCAATTAGTGGGTAAAAAAGGATAAAGCTCTCGGCGTTGATCAATTCCTAAGCGATGCACCAAGCATTTGACTTCATTTAGCATAGTTGGGGATGATAATAATGCATATCTTGCCTTTTCAATGACTCGCGGTAGCTTACCGATGTATCGAGCCAGTGCTGCTACCCCCGAGACCAGCGTGATGCCAATTTGCCGACCCCGGAGCAATGGAAGGCTTGGCGGGCCTAGGACGCTGCAATCGGTACCGTGTGTGTTGCAGGTATCCTCCGACCACTGTGCTACACGCGCTCCTAGACAATTAGTGGAGTAGTCTTTTTCCTCATCTCTTTTTAAAACACGAAGCTACCATCCATTGTGACTTCACAACTGAGGGCCAGTTATAGTCACACTCTTATGATGCCTTGAACTTTTAGTTTGTAGTTTTAGTTATGTCTGAAGTATCATGTTAAGTAAACGTTTTATGAGTATGTGAATGTGAAGTATGTGTGTATGTGAGCAGTGAATTTATTTCTTATAGGTGTTCGCTCACCATATCCTTCGTCAGTTATTAAAAAGAAATCTCGGAGTTTTCGCTTTGGAAGTGGCAGCAGCGTGTCGTCAATTACCACATTTTGCTCATTCTCTGGAATTGCTTCTGCATGGAGTTCTGGAAGAAGAAGCCACAAGTAGCGAGCCAATACCCGGTAACATGGTTTTTTATCGATTTCATTATATGAGAGATAGCTGACTATTGCTGATGATGTTAACATGGTGCAACCGTAATGATGCTGAGATATTTTCAAAACTCCGAAGCGCTGGTGTGTGGGGTAGAGATCGAGCACACTATTACCCTTTCCGGAGGCGAACGCGTTCACCACCACACTATGCGACTCCTTTATTTCACCTTTCTCTCAGTCGTGTTATTGACCTGTAGCCGCTAGTAGCAATCACCCGTCAACGGGATGATATATTTGAATGTGTCAATTTGATAACTCAACGTGTTCCAACACACAAAAGAGAGCCAACGACTCTATATATTTCTGGGCACTTTCAGTCGTTTCGCTCTACACGAAAACAAATTTTAAAAAATGTGAAAACAGCGCTGGTGATGTATCTGTGTATAAAAAATGATGCCGAGAACAATGGTCACTTTAATGCTGAGATGTAATCAGATAATTGTTTTCTAAACTCGGTTAGTTTTCAATTAATACATACATCCCAAATTTGTATGCAACGCATATGTACACGGAAGATTTCAGGAAGCTAATAGAGCTAAAGATATCGTCAAACGAACTGTTAGCACCAGGTGGGCATTATTTGATGGCTAAGCAACTCCATTTTGACATTGTGGATCGAGAATAGTTTAGATAAACATAAATCATTCGTACTCTCAATGTCAAAGTCGTTATGAAAACGAAAAACATACTTTCATGTGATTGCAAAAACCACCTCCCACTTTACTTGGGAATTCATTTCACTGACAACTAAGCCAATTATATTTTTGATAATGGGCTACCATAGTTACGATTTCGTTCGTAAATGGTGTATACATGAAGTATAAATGTCTTGAGCTAACTGTAAACTGGATTACTTCTTTCTTTACGAAAACATGAGAAGGATAAAAGGATAAACGTCTCGGCGTTGATCAATCTCTATGGGTTGCGTCGTGCATTTGTCTTCATCAGGCATCGTTAGTGGTGGGTGATTTGATTGACATCTAGTCTTTACATTGACTTGCGGTGACTTACCGATTTATCAACTCAGTGTTGCTGTCCTGCTAGATAAGTCTAGGAGCATTTTTCTAACCCCAGAAAGGTGAGATGCTTGGTGAGCTCGGACCACAGGATCGAACTAACGATTACAAGTATATTGTAGGGCACTCCTAACCATCGCGCTAAACGCATCCCTGATGAAAATATTGGTATTGTTCTAAAGGATGTTGACAAAGGATTTAATATGTTCAGACCTAAGGAGAGTATCAGAAAGGCCGTGAATTTACTCTCACAAAATGGATTCTTCCTTATACGCCATTAACCTATCACTATATTTTAACGAGAAGTGGTCGGCGCGTGTAACATAGTGGTCTTATGCGCCCTGCAATACACATGGAGTCGATCTCGGTACCCCATGCTCACCAAGCCTTCCATACTTCCAGATTCGGTAAACTGGTAGGTTACTAGTTAAAGTAAAGTATGGTTACTTGTATGGGTGGATAGGAGCACTGGCTCAATATATCGGTAGACCACCGCGAGTCATTGTAAAGGACAGATATGCATTCATTCATCTCTAACGATGCTTAATGAAGTCGAATGCATGGCGCGTCTCTCAGAGATTGATCAATGCCGAGAGCTTTTAACGGGAGTTGAAGAAGCTTCAGCCCAACATCCGTGTATTAGGTCTTTAGAACTTTTCATCATGTATAATTCAAACATATAACCACTAGGCAAGTAGGAAGATAATTTAGTGCTTCACTTAGTATGGGGTCGAAGTGATAGTTGATGTCTACAGTTTATCCATTTACTCTTCACCAGTTGAACATTGAGATTTATGATTTATAGTAGTAATATGCCTAACGTTGTCTGCTTGTCTTAACGTGTTCCAGAACAAATCAAAATAGGGGCGCCTTCCAAGTCAGTACTTCTACGTTCCAATTCTTTCAGGATCATGCATATTTGACACACCGTTCGGTGTGCCAACCACGCGAAAATGTCTGTAGTAGTGAAAGAGTTGGAGCTTTTGTATTGTAGCAACTATTTAGTGCACAGGCTTAACCAAAAGTGGTTCTCTTCATGTAGATTTTCATGTAGGTGCATTACTTTTTTGATCGCGTAATATCTTAGGGACTCTTTGTAGTCCGTCGACTTCGTGTCGAACACGGATATTATAGCAGGTGCAGTTAAAGAATAGGCTTTCTCGGCCATACTTATAAAAAGCCGTTTCGTACGGTGGAATGAAATCGCTGCATATGAAAAACATGAAAGAAAAAAAGGTACTCCTCAAATATGAAAGAAAACCATACGGAATTCTAGTAACATCATGGTTAGATAATGGACGAATTCTTTTCTTCGTCACACACAAGGGGTTTTCAGTAATATGGCGATGTACACAAAAGAACATAGCGAATACGTAAAAGTTAGAAAGACATGAAAAAATCTGAGTAGACTGAACAGTGGAACGGTAAAGGATAATAAAGGAAAGAGCTCTCGGCGTTGATCAATCCCTGAAGAATGCGCCGTGCATTCGACTTCATTAAGAATCGTTGGAGATGATTGAATGCATATCTAGCTTTTATAATGATTCTTCAGGCTTTCCCATTGTATCGAGTCAGTGCTGCTATCTTCCCAGACAAGTCGGCTCCCAATTTGCCGACTCCGGAGAAATGGAAGTTTTGGTTAGCCTTCAGGGTGTGAGTCGATCCCATGTGCATTCCAGTGCGCCTTAGACCACTGTGCTACAGACGCCCATATGAAATAATAATTCATAAAGTAATAAAACGGTGATTTCAAGAAGGAAATGCGTTGTTTCTCTTGCACTGGCTCATAGACCTTACGTCTTCATTTCAGTGCCCCTCTCAGTTGCGTTCCAGTGACGCGTAGTAGTGAAAGGCTTAACACGACAAAGGTGAAGTCACATATGAGTCATAGGCATGGGCATACATGGATTAGTGTTTCATTTTTAATACACATTATCTTTCACTTTCTGTGAGCGCTATGTTAAAGATGACACAGATTATCATTTTCCTCCATATCATTTAAACCTGAGAAAATACACTTCCATACAGGTAGAATTCACCAATCCTGTTTCTATGTGGTAAAAGTTGAAAACTATACGGCCGTGTGTTAATGACGGAGAAAGAACCATCTTCATTGTGCATGATTTAGAGCGAGTGGTACTAAATCCATTGAGACATGTGAGATCTGAAACTTTGAAAACGATGTTCACAGTTTACTTTTTATTTGCTGCGTACTACAATTTCGACCACAGCCTCAGCTTATTTGGGTTCAATACCGATTTGTGCTCACCAGAACAGTCCTATTGACGGGTGATTGCTGATGGCACTTATAGGTTAATGAGACGGCTGAGAGAAAGGCGCAGCGAAGGGTTCGCATGGTGTGGTGATGAACGCGTTAGGTCCACCCGAAAGGCTGGTTATCGCGTTCGTTTCCCACCGCTGACACCTGCGGTCCGGAGTTTTGCGAATGTCTCAGCATCGTCGTGGATGTTTACTGTTTCTGGATCGGAGAGAACACACTAGGAAACTCTTGCACAGAGTAGCGTGCTTTTATATGCTGTTGTTTACGTTTGTAAATGTTTGGAGCACATGTCTCTGTCCTCAATGTTAGTGGTTGCTGCTATAAGTGAGGTAGATAATTTATTTCAGATACGAGTGCAGTTATTTTGTTCTCACCGAATTCTTTGTAGATCCACTACTCCCACGATGTGTTGCATTCATACAGGAATTTCCCGAATTTCTTCGAACAGTTGCTCATTGTGCACGAAAGACAGAACTCGCTTTATGGTCGTCACTATTCAGCGTTACTGGTTCCCCAAATGATCTTTTTGAGGTAGGGTGTGCTTTGTCGTTCTCTTTATCCTATCTCTGAATCGTGCAAGTGATTTGATATTAGCCATACTCCTTAGGTTAGTTTATAGTTTTGTTCGTTTAACACCTCTGGTCATGCTGTTTGATCCGGCCTTTTTTTCACTCTGTTTTCTTTTGTAATTGGGGTTATTATCCATTTTTTCGTTTTTTTTTTTATTCGCAAATGAGATTAATCCGGACGGTTTTATTAGTATAGTGTAGTATTAGTATTAGTATAGTACAACAATAACGTATAGGTTTGCCTTCGTGACGGGCAGTTACAGACAGCCACCAGCTACTTAATTGTGCTTCAGAATATCGAAAGTGCCCAAACTAGTCAAGAAGTAAGTGAAAAAATTGACTGTCAAGGAAAAATCAGAAGGTTGGTAAGCCTACGTTTCAGCAAGCGCTTCGTCTACTCCGAGAAGCTTTATCTGCAGGTGAATGGGGTATTGCAAAAGATATGGTTCGGTTTACACGTGCTATAGGATTAGAAGATATGGAAACTCCTGCTAGGTGAGTGTTGTTTCCTTTTTCTTCTGTTCTACTGCGGTCAGCTATATCACATGTCTAATGGAATAACTTGATTTAGAACCTCTCCACCGTTGAAAACATCTCGCCGACATGCCACGTCAATAAATAGTGTTGCAGAGGCCGACGACCTAGTGTTTGCTAGGTTTCAGGCTGGTAAGATATATTTCGTTGATGTTCTTAAAGACGATTTGCTTAGTTGTGATTTGGAGGCGGAAGAATAACAAAAATTCGCCATTCACATGCGGATTCCCGTGATATCTATAGGAAGGATTCCACAGGAAGCACTAAACGGATAGCTAGAGTGAGTTTATCGCTGCGAATTGCAATCTTAATGGAATCTCGGAAAACCATCTGTTTTGACGTTAATATCTGGTATTTCTTCGTGAAGTGTCGGTCATAGTATAGCGATGTTCATGTTCAACGTACTAATATCTTTTGTGTAGCATACCTCCAATGAACTAAGTCCTCCATCGCCAACACAAGCAAGCCCCATTGCTGACAAAATGGATGCAATTCTTGACAGTCATGGTGTTTATTTGCTAGAAAATTATTACGTCAGAGATTTAGGTTCGTTCACGCCTTTAATTATTGGTTTTGGCCATAACAGTCATAGATTCTGTTTCTCTTGTGACAGGTTTTTTCATATCTGCGCTCAATCTCGACATTTCACGTATTCTATCGCGTTCATCGAGAAGACATATAGAAGACTTCTCGCTAGCGCTTACTCGCCTCCATAGCCAATTCGGGTGGCCGTATCCAGTTGCGAACAAGAAATTAGTCGATCAGCTGGAAAAGCGCTTTGGCAACATGCGTTACAGCCAAAGCTCGGCATCTCTTAATGGTTTGTTTATTCACAACATGAGATTCAAGCTTTTGATTTTTATTGAAATATTTTAGGTGGACCGCTAACGGATTTGAATAAATCCGTCAACCATCTTAGCTCTGGGGCCTTTGTTAAGTCGGAAAAGACAGAGGTGAAAGTAGGCAGTAGTTCTACATCAGATGGCTCCGGATGTATCGAAGATGTTCACCTTATTCCAGTTCAAGAGAATGGTATGCTGGTTCAACCTATTCTACCACTTTTTTAAGAGGGAAGAAAACAAGTAATGGGGAGAAGATAAAGGCTTTTCATTATTGCGAGGAGTGCCCGGTTGATACCTCTCGCTTGAGCTTCTGCTTAGGGTTTGCAAAAGGCCGCTTGTTGTACTCTGCGAAATTCGAGTTGGAATTTTCAGATAGATATTATCTAGTGAAGTAATGAGTAATGTTCCTTAATAATTAGCAGATTAATGACTTACCTTAAGAAGAACGTCTTCTAAAGGTCTTGAATAAGTCGGCCAGCATTTCTTTCGCCTAGCTAATGTTTGATGTTATAAGAATGGTATCAACGGCAGAGCGAGAATGTTGCAGCCACCGACCCTCGATTTCTGACAATTGCATGTTAATTTAATTGCTGACTTATTTGTTTTATTTTACATGACCTGTTATCATATCCACTATGCGGATCCTAGCACTTCTTTCATTTCATTCGTTTTCCTCGAGTTCATCGTCCGCAAAGGTCTTTGAACATAACGCATATTATTCCGCTCGCTACTCGAGGATCTCATCTTGTTTATTAATATCGTAGAATGCTAGTGGAGTCGATTCTCCTTTCAATCTTGGAGATAGCCGAATTAATGCGTTCCTACTTGTATTCGAGGAGGGTGTAAAGGAGAGGGTCGAACCAGCACCTTGATTTCTGTTGGGCTTCATTGCTAATCACTGCGTTTGCGTTGCAGAGAGTGACTTCTAACAGAGAAGTTTATTACTAATTTCGCGAACCCGTAGGGATGGGAGGCTTGGTGAGCCTGGAGCGGAGTCGAACCAGCAATTTGCCCGTGATGATTTGTTTTTCAACGTATTGTTTACTTATGGCTTCTTTACCGTGGAGTGATATGCGTTCCAGGTAATATCTCAAAGGCATCGACCACTGCAGAATCTCCGTCGGGTAGCATAGCTTGCATATTAGACACATCTGATTCAAGTAGTATGAATGCGGATGAATGGCAAGGTATGTTCTTATCCTGTTTTGCATTTTCCTGCTGTCATGATTTCAGAAGTTCGGAAATAGAAATGCCATCAGCTCATATTTGTTATAGGACTGAGTTTTTTCATTGGAGAAACGTCTAATTCTGGCTCGGTAAAAAGTCTCGCGCAAATGACTCAGTTGATTTCGTGGTTTTCCATATATGGTTACATCGATTGGGTTTTCTTGGTACTACCTGTTTATTTTTTCTCTTATTCCTTTATTTTCTTAAGTAGTTTAAATGGTTTTTTTACTTTCTTTTAAGTTATGCGTTGTTTCACGAGATGTTGTGCGGTTGCGACGAGAAATCAATGCGGATTCAGTACGTAAAGCAGGTGTGGATGCTTTTGAACACACAATGTTCGGATGTCAAGAGCTTATTCGGTGGGCTACGCAGAATTGGTGAGGTTTTTAATATTCTTAAGGTTTACGGTACTATGCGCATGATGCTGTTGGAAGGTCCGTTTGTGTCTGTTGCACTATTGTAGTTCTGGCCTATTGAACTAAATACATGGTCACCATTTTCATGCGAAGCATTCGATTTTATGTTGCAAAGCTTCTAAACTGTTAGATAGCTGTTTATTTGAGCATAAAATTTCCTTACTCCACGGATAGTTGGACATTTCATTTTCACGAATCATGCGTGCTCCTACACCACAGCCAATTTCTCGCGTTTCACTCTGTCGCGGTCGCGCTGAGTGTTCTATTTAGAGTCTAGGCGATTCGTTCTACCATCCGCCTTTTTTGTAGTGTCTCCCCTTCATCCTGTTTAAAACATTTATTAAGCATTTGAATTATGTAAGAAGATTTGTTCCACTACGACAACGAATTCTCTCGAATTGAATTCTTGTCGAATTTGTCTTTCTGTGTATGTGTCGAACTCCCGAACAGAGCAGTATCGGGTCACTGTAGCTGCGGTTGTGATCAGCTGGAGTTCACGTGGAGATTAGCTCGGTTACTATGTTAGCGAGCCCCAAAGGAATGTTGCTAGTCTGGATTCCGCGATAGCCTTTTGTTGCTCGCAAACGTTGCGAAAATAGGTATACGGTAATTGCGTTTTCTCTAATTTTTTTGGCAATAGCTACACCTTGAATATATTTATTATTCGTCTTCATGTGTTTCCCTTTACAACAGATTCCTGATCAAGTTTTTTTTTGAATTGTTTGACCTAAATATGCTCAGAATGTGTACAGTGGTACCCCTCGAAGAGATCGTAGAATATTTTTAACAAGTGAATGGAGTAATGATTGCGCAAATCCATTAGATCAAATTTCCTGACCAAGATGACCATCTATGGCGTCATTCCTCACTCCTCAGGAGGTTGGCTTCAGACTCTAAAGGAATTGGTCACGATTTGACGGTTTTTCGGAGTTGCCCCTATTTAGACATTGTTGGTAGTAATTCTGATTTTGAAAGGAAGAAACCGGAATGTCCGGAATGGATTTCCTTCAACAGGGATTTGATGTTGATTGCTTAGGATGTGGAACGAAAAGAATTGGTATGAAATTTCTCCGTTTTGAGCTCCGCTTTATGGGAGAAATTAGTGGAGTTCTTTGCTAATTACTACCAACAATCCTTTGGCGCTGATTTTAACGTTGTATTCGTGATGATAACCAGTTGTTGTTTTTTGTAGATTCCTTAGACTAGTTGTTTTTGCGTCCCTGCTACGGTTTTCTACATCTGACGCGTATTGTTGTCCGAGTATTAAAATCGGGTCAATGCTCTGGATCGTTGTCATCCAGACAGCTTTTTGGTGGAACTTCAGTCCGAACTTTTTGACTGGAAAGTTTAGTGCTATTAAGCAGTATCCATTTCCGTTAACAATTTTGTGGGTAGATATGATTAGGATACCAGGAAATCCGTTTTCATTGGGGTTTTAGATATCCTGATCGTGGTTTTTCAGGAACGTTTTGTTATAACATGGAGAATCCTTGACACGAGACTTATAGAATATTTCGATTTTTTCATTTCTTTTGTTCAAGATAGAACTCATCTGATTCGTTCTCATCAGCTGCACACGTTATCTCGTAGTTGGTGATACTAGTCTTTTTTCGATACAGGTGTTGGAATTGGAAAGTAGTCAAGCGAGTTTGTATCATCTGATTGCAATGATGGCTGTGCCATCCGATGCGTGGAAAGGTTTTGTCAATTACTTGACGTATGTTGGCTTTCTTTGGAAAGATGTTGTGGAATCAAAGCCACATAAAATTTCGTGTACGTGCGAGGCATTAAGCAATCTTGATATTCTTACGTGAACATCGTACATTCGTTTTCATGCTAAGTAACCTTATAGAACCACTATCTAGTGTTGATCATTTTACTTCCGAGACCATTAGTTTATATGGCAGCAAAAGTCCATGGTTATTGCTAAAGACGAGAGCTTAGGTACTAAATTTCAGTTTGGGATATGTCTCGATTCTTCACGTATTTGTTGCTCATTTGGATTTGGTAGCAGAAACTGTTGGATTACCTCGTTTAAGGGACATGAGGAGAGCATCCATTTCTATTTTTAAGAAGCATGTAATTAAAGGTCAGTTTTGATCTTTTTAGGTTAATAAATCGAACGGTATAGTCATTTCCATTCATCGTAGGGGAAGAACTTAATTCGGCGAAGCCACCATTGGATAATGTTACTCGGACTTCGCTTGCTACAAACTCGGTGTTACGGGATTCGTTCAAACTTACTGGCAAGGATGGAAAAGAAGGACGGCGATCTTTCGATCACGGAACGGATTATATTGTTACTTCTTTCGAAAACGATAAAGGCTCCTGTGTTGTAATGTAGTTTATGCTCAATGTCGTTGATACCTTTTCCAAATTTAGGTGCTGTGATAAATAACGTATGCAAGAGGGTCTTGAGATCATTTAAGTTTTATAATGCGTTGTCTTCTTTAACGGCAGATTGCAGTATGTCTTCAAAATGTTCTATTGTACTATTTTACCAGTTTATACAAACCTCGCACTTCATAGACACGTTGTATATGCAATCAATTGCGATTATTTATTTGTTTATTTATCTGAACTAGCAACATTTTCATATTGTCAGTTGATTCACTTATGCGTACGGGATATCAGCGAATGGTTTTTATTTACAGTATCCACTAGTGTTTTGAGTTCCTTGTGAGGATAATAGTTCTAGGAAAATTGTCATGATCGTGTACAAATCGAGAGCAATTCTTTGAACCAGTTATCCTTTGAGTAGCGTTACCACTTCTTAAACTTTTTTTTTTGAGTCAGTTTTGCGGGCCTTGTCCTTGATTCATTCACCGATTGATATTACTGAGACATTGAAAGAACGTCTTATGACGTTTGGGCGGGAAGTGATTTCATTGGTGTGATAAGCTGTTCAATTTAGAATTTGTTTAGATGTATACACATATAGAACTTTAAAATGTTTTTATTAATGTAATACAGAAGATTCAGTAAATAATTCCTAGTTATATTCAGTCGTCTTGAATATATTGTGAGCTGCTTTTTTTCGGCTTAGGAAGTTCATTTCTAAGGTTCCTTTTCTTCGGACGAGACATATAGCATGTTGGCGACTTACTTGTCGTGCTAACCGATTTAAAAGGCTTTCTTCGATGTGCTCGATTTATGTTATGCCGGAAATGTTTGGCATACCGTACTTTCCTAATACAGTCTCTTGAATGAGGAAAAGAATAGGACTTGTCGAACGAAGAACACGATCGGAATCTTCGTTCTCATTGGTAGTCATCTGTATCACCCGTAGTCCATTTGATCGTTGAATGACTTGATCGGGCACCAGTAAATCTTCCATTTTTCCCTGTCTCGTGCAAGGGTAGCCCAAGGGGTTCTGCTCTCTCTACGGACTAGTCGAGCATCATATCTTTCTTCCAGGCCCTTCGTGAAGAACTCTGACCATCGGGTCGATGGTCATCTTGCAGTACGTTTGACATCCCGAGGAATCCAGTCGCTAACGGCTCTTATCCATCGGTTGTTTGTCACGTGGGTAAATTGATGATGGCAACTCAGAAACTCTGGATGAGGATCTCCGGAATAACATGGCTTCAGCATGAGATTCAGGTCATTGTAAAGCATCCAAGTCATCATTTTAATAGTCACTAATTCCACCTCAACGAGAAAGGTATGAATATCTTCCGATCCAAGGTCTAATGGAATAAGGCGATTTCTAACATACTGCCGGCTATACCATTACACCTGAATTTCAGTGATATGGATGCTTTTCTGACACTACGAGTTTATCGAGTACTGAGTTCGAGTTACTTAGTGGGTATAAGGATTATCTACCAAATGTTTGCTGCCTCATCGTGGCTGGAAAGTGTTCGTGTATCTCGTACTACGGTGTATAGCTGGGATTCATACTGCCAGCAGAGCATCCCAATCTGAGATATGGTGTGGCATCTCCATCTGAAATCCCAATCAACGAATATACAAAATACTGTCACCGCGCTTGAACGTCTTTCGTCTCTTACTTTCTCATCAAAAAACAGTGTTATCAACTAGCACTCATCAACGTGTACAGCTGGTGAGAGCAAAGTGATCTCGTTTTACAATGAGCTGGAGGAAACAATCCGCAACGGGAAGTCCTACAAATTCGTTGTTGGAGACTTCAACGCTAGATTAGGGAATGCCAATGAAAATTAATGCAGGATAGAGAAATTCGGAACAGGAAAACGAAATGAGAATGGGAACGGTCTCTTAGGACCATTATCCGTAGCACGTCTGTTTTATGGATATTTATTTTAGAGAAGAGGGAAGATTGTTCATGGACATGGGAGTTTCCTAACGGCACGACTTATGCGGAGATCGATCATATTCTCAGAAACAGAAAATGGTGCCTCGTTTTCACTTTAGCGGTACTTGAGTTCTGTACCGGATTTGATTACCGCTTTTTTGTGCGAAGATTCGATTCAGCCATGAGACGGAAATGCACTCCTATCGTTGTCCAAAAAAAAACCAATTAAGTGGTGTATAACGACGATATTCTCAACAAAATCCTCTCCTCATATGACTGATAGATAAGGGAACACCCGACGGAAGACTACGAGCTACTTGTAGAAGGAGTTAAATCTTGCGCAGAACCCACCTCAGGTTCTCGGACAAGCACAGTGCATCTCCATTACCACTACGAAAGAAGGCTCGAAAAGAAAAGGACATTGAAACATGATCCCGGCTGCAACACACTTACCACGGCCGATAATAAATGCTAGCTGTAGGAAATCTTTCTAGGAGGAACTATATCGCTACAAGCAGGAAAAGTTATTAGAGGCAGCGCAAAGACCATCCACTGTAAACAAGTGCCATCAGCATCTTTGCGACTGTAGTGTTCCGCTATGCACCCCAATGAAGAAAGATGGGACTATCACCTCCTATCATGATATGGAGTTGATAACGGAGAGGTTCTATGCCAATCTTTTCCACTTAGCGATATCCGTCTAGGATCCCGAAATCCCTGCAGGTTCCGAAATTTCCGACGAAAATTCTGCCTAGGATTTTGTCCTATGAAGTTCGACCTGCAACAGAACAGAACAGCACGAACAGAAGCTCTAGGACCCGATAATATCGCCGCGATTTCCTTGAGAACCACAAATTACATGTGCTTTTAACAACCCTTTTAATTAACAGAAATGCTGATGTTTCAGAAATTGCAATCTACTCGGCCAGACACCTCCATAACCAAACAGAGAATGCTAAACCAATAGTTCGATCATATTCAACCTAGAATGAATTCTTTGCACGCTCACCCTCACCGCTTTTTATGAGTTTTATACTGAGTATTTCACGTGAACATCAACCGCATAGAGTTCACACGCAAGGATAATGTGAACCTCTCACATTAAGATATCAGCCTGAGGTATGGTGCAAGGTCGCGCGTGGTCACATAGCATATCACCTTGCGGTTTATTTCTGGATTCTTGGAATTTATACAAAATGCCTCGAAAGTTCAGCGAGCTGAAGTTTTTGATTCCTGTGCGAGGATGGTGGGTTGTACTTCAAAATCCTCCCGTTATGTCTCTGTACCCTATGTGCGCCTAGTGGAGTATGTGGTTCAAATTTTTGTTTGCTGACTAGATGTTCTTTTAGACGGACTGGTAGTGATCTGCTCGTTTCGCTAATATATTTGTTCCCACACGCTTTATAAGAGATTAGGGACACCGTGCTCGAACTCATGCACTCGCCGTCCTGACGGTTTGGCGTATTATGCAATTTTGTGTTATACGTAAACGGTTATAAAGGTGGTTAAGAACCACCTAGCGTCTTATAGTGCTCGATGGAATTTCAGTTAGTGTTACCGAATTCTATAGATTGAGTCTTTTTAAGCAACGTTTCACAGCTGCGCTTATTTCATTGGAAACAAGTTCCAGAATAAAAGGAACTTTATTCTCGCTAGAATCTTGGTTTTGGGGCGCCGCTTTTCCTTACCACCTATCCCAAGGTGGTATACTTTCATAAAAAAGCATAAAGCTGTCGGCGTTGATCAATCCCTGAGGGATGCGGCTTCACTAAGCATCGTTTTGGAGGCGACTGAATGCATATTTGGCTTTTGCAATGACTCGCAGTGACCTACCAATGTATCTAGCCAGTGCTGCTATCCTCCTAGACAAGTCTGGTACCAATTTGCCGACCCTGGAGGGATGGAAGCCTTGGTGAGCCATGGACGCTGGGATCGATTCCACGTGTGTTGCACGGCACCTCCGACTACTGCGCCACACGCACCCTTATGCTTTCATAGACACTGCAAATTTCTCTAAATTTCTCTCTCCTCTAACCGCTCAACCACAAGTGGGCGCTTCTAAGAAACATCTTTGGAACAGGCAACAGTGTACACAGGAAGGGAGCTGAAGGAAGAATCAGTGAATATGTCGCTGCAAATAGCCATTTCCAATGGCTACGAAACGGTAGCTCCTCGACATAGGTTTGAAGGAAGAATCACGGTTCAAAGATGTAATTCCAGTAAGAATAAGACGTTGCCTAAAAAGCGCAGACTTAATGAAATCGGTAACAGTGATTGAATTACTGCCAAACAATCGCAGATCTCACCTAGTTTGTAACAGCCTGTATGACCGTAAATGCACAACGCAAAATTGCGCAGTATGCTCTATCGGTAGATGTGGTGGTCATACATGAGTTCGGGTACGGTTTATCTAGTCACGGTAAGCCGTGCGCGGGACAATGCATTCGCAAAATGTGTAGACCATTGTGCATCCTTATATAAGGACACCTAAAATTCAAGCATAAAGCTGAACGAAGTACTCCACTAGGCGCGCATCGGACACATTCACATAGCGGAAATGCTTTGAAGGAGAACTCACCATCCTCGCATCGGAATCTAGAACTTCGTCGCGTATTACTCTCGAGCCATTTTCCTCCAAAAATACAAAGATGAAACATAGGAAGGAAATTTTTGCTATTACGCGTGAGCTCACACAATAGTTTAAGGCCGGTATTTTAATATTAGAGAGGGACATTACCCATCCATATGAACTCTGTGCAGTTGGCCTCCACATGAAATGCTCAATGCTCAACTCACAGAAAGCGGTGAGTATATGAGGAAGCTATTTTGTTGTCAATAATATTGAAACATTGGTTTCATGATTTTTCTTCTGGCGTCGTGAATTTGCTCGGCTGAGTATATTGCAGACAACAAGATCTTTCTAGGCTTTGATGAAGGTGGAATCCGTCAAAAGGTCAGCTTTTTTTTATGAATAGGGATTAATGTAGCAGCCCCTTGTGTGCTTATCAGGGAAACAACGAATTATAGGGAATGCAGCTGGTAGAGACGATACCGATAGGACCATTCTACATGCAAGCGGAAAGGAACAGGTATTCCAGTTTTAACACTCACTCGTGGTCGACATGCATCGTCAAGAAAGTGAAAATATGTGATTAAAGCATATCACTCATGTAGATATTTATCTAGTACTTAACATATCATGGGTGAGGTCTAGGCACCTGCTTGTCCTACGAAGAGGTGGCCGGTCGTATTTCTGGTTTGGAAGGTCTTTTCAATATCACACATGACACAAAATATCGACTTAACTCGAGGTAAAGCAGACTTAAAATTCAAGAGACAAATTAACGTCGGTATTGAAGTAAAAGATTCAAAGGCAAGTTTTCCAGCGCAAACTCAGTTCAGTATGAACGGTATCAAAAGCATCCATAGCGTTTTTATTTTTTCAGATCACAACCATTCTTCCAAGTTCTGAACTGCTAGGAGTTCTATTCGTTGGTGACATTATTGTGAATGTAAACGGAACAGTAAGATATCCTTTTCCTCTATCAGATTCTTTTTTTTAAAGATAATACTTACTATAAATTTTGCAGCCAACTCCGGCTACATCAGATTTCTCAAAAGCTGTAAATTCAAAACTACCAGGAGATGTTGTCATTGAATATTTACGTGATGAAATGTGTACTTATGAATTGAAGGTGAATTTACCTTTAATTCAATTATCGATTAAGTTCACAACACACATCGCCAAATCGATGCTTCGTATGAAGGTGAAAAAGACCACTGACATTACTACTGTTGACGATTAGGACTTAGTTAGAAATGAAATAGAGCGATGAATCGAACATTTGTTTACTCAGATTTATATTTGTCTGATTGTCCTCTAACCGTCATACATGATGATAGTCAGATCGGCTTGTAGCTTCGACTGGGATCTGAGCTCTGTTTATCATCTTCGCTGCCCATCGACACATGAAATGGTAGTTCGTATGGAGTTCTTCATTGAATCCGGAGATAGATATGCTAGATCATTGTCAGCTCTTCACTACATTCAGTCGCCCGTACTAGTGAATCGGTGATAGGTTCGCCGTCATGCAATTCAAATTCCTCTAGAACAACGGTTCTTATTAAGGGAATGAATCCTGTGATTATTGGTCAAAACGCCTACTTAAATTGTATACTAACACTAATCGGAAGTTTTCTTAGGGAAAAGAAAATTGAAAATTTTTAAAGTAAATTATTTATACAGAGTACATGTGGCGCAGCGCAACTGTTTACTGAGGTCGTTTTCTACCGTATTATTTCGATCCTTTTGTGTGGATGAAATTTAATGATCGTTCAACCATCCATCAGTAATAGCTTTTACAGAAATATCGACTGTATCTATAAAAGCAAATCGATAAATGCATTGTACCTAACATCTATAACTTACGATTAATACTTTACTTCATTGTTAAATACTGTAGCGGTCATTCGAAGGAGTATCGATGTGTGAAACAATATTTCCGCTTTGAGCAGAAGAAATTTTATTTGGGGAATAGATCGCAGTTGTTTAGAACAATTTTTCTTTTACAGCAGATTCCTCCACAAAAAGCCGGATACGAGCAGTTTGAGATAACACTGATTTGGCGATCTGGTGGTACTCCAATCGGGCTTCTTATTCACAGAGTATGATGTTTTTTGTTCGTGGGCTCCTTATCGAATTAAAATTTTCCACAATATGGAAATGTGCGAATGCCTTGGATGAGTAGAAAAACCTCGTAGGAAGCAAGGTCCAGTATTCTACGTTATATTTAGCGGTTAGCTAAACAGCTATACAGCTTCAACCAGTTATCTTTGCGTATTTTTTGTTAGATTACTACTTGCAGTCTCATCTAGAATAGTCTCTCTTAATTATTGTACTATTTTCGAAATTGGTTATTGTTTTAAGGTATTTGGACCAGTACCTAGCAATTTTAGCTCAGTTTTGGTAGAGATCTAAAATGACGCGAATTCGAATCGAACTCAATCGAAAATCATAACTCTTTCCAATTTGCTCTATATTTCAAAAATTCTCATATAGTGGCTTTTCACTTTATATCCTTTTGTGCCCAGGATTTCTCAAAGCGTATTGTGGTTGCAATGGTTGAAAGTGGATGTACAGCGTCAAAAGTGGTTAAAGCTGGTGACAGGTTACTGAAGGTGAACAATAAAGATGTCGCAGACAAAGATCTCGCTAGAAAGGTGAGAATTCATGAAATGAGTACTGAATAGAAAGGAACTGTGCTAAAACCTCTGTTCAACTTTCAACTTTCTTATCGATCGAGTGAGGAAAATGGGGTTGAGTGAATACAAATGGAAGCAAATGGCTTGTGCTGTTATAGTTTCGTTTTTTTTTCCAATAGTTTGATATTTTTGTTAATACCGAAGACTATTTGTTTCAATGAGTGCCTTCATTCAATGAAATCGTTGCAAAGAGAAACTCTAACAATGAGTGATATTAGTTAAATCACTACGGTTCTAAACACTACCATATCTAACCACGAAGGTACTGAGATTTATGCAAAACTCGGGATGTCTGTTGGGCTTCGAACCCTTGATAACCCCTACCTAATCTCATGTGTTATTCGCCACAAGAACGAAGGCCTTTGCTTTACCGTTTTTTCAGCCAGTTTTCTTCCTTTTTTTACTCTATCTGTGATATCAGCAATCGCCTATAAACGGGAATAATCTGGAAAACACAAATTGTCATTGAACTCAGTCGAGCTGGGTGTTAGCTGAACAGCCTAATGGATGAATGAACATTACTACCATACCATCAGTATTCTCTTCGAACGTTGTGCTTGATCGGGTTCGGAGTACATATGGTGTCCCGAATTTTGTTCATATCTCAACATCTTTGTGGTTGTATTTCACATCGTATCCTACCATGAAAACTGGAAGCGGTAAATAAAAGTTAAAACGTTTCAAAGAGTAATATTTAGTAATAGAGCGTTGCGAAGAGCCTTTCTCAGCTTTGGAAATCTGCCAGACACGTTATAACATAGAACTAGTTGATGTTCACAGTAGTTTCAAAGTCTATAACTACAGTCGTGAAAAGAATGCATCGTCATTAGGGATATAGTTCGACATTGGTAATCTGTAATAATCTAGTGCTGTAAAAATGAATAGATCTAACTTGCCTATCTTAAACATTATTATAGTATATTCCTCTACTCACAATATCTTTAACTGTGATAAGAAATGGTTTTCATTTTAAGAGTAAAAGTAGTTTAATTACAAGATTTACCACGTTGCGGCATTGTGAATAGAGAATAGAACAGATGTAACCATGTGGGTGAAAGGGCAAGAAGAAGATAGCCTGCCGCGATAACAATTCAGAGCACAAAGTGGTGAGCCTGTAGAAGTATGGAAGGAATCGAGAAGATAACGGATATATCAATTGAACATGCTACGTTTTGGTTCCTGAGTATATCTCCATTATAATAAGCCTTCGAGACGGTATCCATAGTGTGAAGCACATGGAAACGTTCATGAAAAATGGGTTTCGAGTCGGCTTACTCATTAGCACATTTATGCGAAGTTCATATCCGCTGTGATGAACGCTGTAGGACACTTTATAAAAGAGTAGCTTTGAAGATCATATAATTCCGTTATAATATTCAAAACCTGCTGTAACGCATCAGCTCTGCATTCTGCACTGATCAGAGAAGATATGATTGAAACGGGCAGTAATAGTTTCTCTGAGCGAATCTGAACTTTTCCGATATTCGTACGAACTGCATGGTGTTCACGAATGCGAAGGTGTCCTTAGTCTGATAGCGACCACTGTTATATGGTAGTCGTTGCGGAATCAAACGTTCGGATGCTCAAGAAAAAATGAGAATTTCTTTGTGGTGTTTTCGACGACGCAGTATTCCATAGTTCCTTTTTAATCAGCTTGTTTCCGTAACACATTTTACTTTCACAACATAAGTTGCCGATTTTGTTAACAACTGAATAATAATAGAATTTTTAGCTGATCATGGAAAGCATAAACACTACGAAACGTGTTTCGTTAACACTAGAAAGATGTACTTTTTCTATTATGCAACCGCCTGTAGGGAGTTCATTGTCAGTGTCGCAAGTGAGTGTGGTTCATTCTGAACGTTTCCATTAGATTGTGAGTGTATTCCAACTGATTCTTAGAAAATTTTCAGAAATGATGTTCATAATCGAGTTGTCCTTAGATCAACTCTAAAAACGGACAAGTTATTATTGTTTAAATTTGAGAAGTTATATTCATATTTAAATTTTCCGCTTTCAAGTTCGCTTCGGTCACATTTACAACAAGATTCAACAATGAAGACTATCAACGAGCACTTTTGGAATGCAATAACTCAGTTCAAACCAACCTTCCTTTTCAATGAAAACGAAAGATTTTTAAATCTGTCGTTTTTGCCAATGAGGCCACCTATATTAATTCGGTCGTATTAATACAATCACGAGCATGATGCTAGTTCGGTTCCGTTCCGGGCCAACCAAGTCTCTCATCCCTTCGGGTTCGGAAAATTGGTGTCGGATTTGTCTGGGAAAAAATCACTCTCTGCAATCCAAGTGGGAACGCTGTAGCCCGGCTCTAGAAAGATTCTAAGGAGAATCGGCTCGACCTACATTCTGCGACATCGAGATGAAATGGAAATCCTCATTCAGCGTCCGCACCCACACGTAAAAGTTGGGAGACCTTCGTGGACAATGGATGCGAGAAAACGAATCGAATGTGGGAAGTGCTGGGATCCGCTCAGTAAATGTGGACGGATCAAATAAAATAAAATAAAGTGAAAAAAATTAATTCCGTAGCATAAAATTCTGGTTATCCGGAAGTGACAAGTTCTTCTAAGGTGATTTTTGCAACGGTTTACTTCTCGAAAACTTTATCGGCTATTAATGGTTGAGGTGCATGAAAAAAGCAGTGTTTGGTTAGCGGAAGGTCCTCCGAATATGGTAGTGGTTTAGTAACCTAACTCGTTCAACTTTTGTATCGTGAGGACAGTTTCAATTAATGTGCCCATTTATCGAGTTTCTCACTTTTCCGCTGTTTTACAAACGGCTAATAGTTGCTAAGTTGTAGTTCCTAGCATCGTCCTTTCGACTGCGCGTTCGATAACGCTGACTGACCTTTCATCCTGTTTAAGCAGCGACCAGGTTTCTGACGCATATGTTAGGGCAGGAAGTACTATTGAGTCGAAAATGTGGGCACACAGTTGGGTGTTCTTTGTTCTCTTCACTACATCCTTAATGCTCTTGATTGAAGGCTCCCCAAACCGCTCGTTTCGTTCTGCTCAGCTCTGGAGCTAGGTCGTTCATCATACTGATTTACCGACCTAGATAGATATAACTGTAGCAATCGGAGATATTCGTTTCGTTGAGATTGAATGGGGCTTGCGAAAACAATCCATTCTTCATGAACATCGTTTCTCTGAGATTTAGTTGAAAACCAATCCTTCCACAGGTTTTATCAAAGTCATCAAACATACGTTCCGTTTGGCTAATGTTTGGTGTTATAAGGACGATGTCACCAGCAAAGCTAAGATGGTCTAACTGCCGACCATCGATTTTCACTCCCATATTATCCCATTCCAACGTTCTCATGACGTTCTTGAGTGTGGCGGTGAATAATTTTGGCGAGATAGTATCGCCTTGCCTAACTCCTCCTTTGACGTCAATGTTAATATCGTTGTAGAATGGTGATATCTTGGTTGTGTAATTTTTGTACAGGTCACGAAGAATCTTAATGTACTAAGTGGGAGCTCCTTAACTGTCAAGGGCTTCTATGACTGCTTCTATCTCAGTTAAGTCATTGATTTCCTTTAAATCGATGAAAATGAAACAAAGCGGTGTTTTGTACTCTAGCGATACTTCACTGAGTCTTGTTATTGTGCGGATGTGGTCCATCGTACTTAATCGTTTTCGAAACCCTGCTTACTCACATGGCTGTCCTTCGTCTAGCGTTTTGTCAGTTCTGTTTAGAATGGCTCTAGTGAAATATTTGTAGGCGAAAGACAGCAAGCGGATGGACGATAGTTGCCGATATCGTGGAGGTCACTCTTCTTGAAAAATAACGTGGTCTTGCTGATCATCAAATAAGTAGAAGCTTTGCTTTCAGACAAGTAACGTGTGAAGAACCGAGCCAATGTGTTTCGAGGATTGGCGGAAGGTTCTTTAGGTGTTCTGGTCTTATCCTGTCCAGACCTGGTGCTGTTCGATTTCTCACCGACAAAATGGCATGTCCGATTTCGGAAGGAAATCCCGGTGGTGCAACATATCCAACCTCCTTCATTTCATATGAAGAAAGGTGGACGTGGCTATCGAAGAGATCCAAGTAGTATTCGTGAATGGTTTTTCTCTATTGCCTTTCTGGATGCTGTAACAGTTGCGTCTGGGCGTCGGAGTGCAATCATCGTGGTCTTGTCATTGGTGAACTTTGGTGAGCTTAGCGATTGATTTTTCCAGCCTAGCAAATACAGAAAGTATGTGCCAAATCGGCATAGCAGAAACAGCGAGTCCATCCCCTGGATCCACCTGCGTCTCAGGTAAGCAAAGGTCGCTTTTGGTCTCCGATTAACCCCCTATCTGCCACCTGGGGATGCGCCAAGTAGCCTCGCGACTAACCGACTCGAGATCCCTCATATGGGGGAGATCCGTGGGTGTTTCCCATAGGACAATAATATTATTGTATAATGAATAAACATTTGCTAAAAGCTGTGAAGTAAACATTGCTGTGAAGTCACCGTTTCCTTGTTCAGCATTCGCGAGGTTTTTGAACAGCATACATTTACTTCCATAGAAAAGCACAATACAATACAACGCTAGCTGACGTTTCGGCAGTATCGCCTTCTTCTGAGCCTGGAAGGGTATACTGATATACAACCTACTAGGCCAAACGTTTCAATAACACAAAAAACGAAAAACTCTATGGTAGTTACGTGATCAACAGCTTCATCATTATATATATTATATTATATATATTAATATAATTAATATATAGTATAAATTATATATATAATATAATATATATAATATAATATATAATATATGTATATATATATATATATATATATATATATATATATATATAATAGTGGTGAACAAGAAAACGACGCATTCGTATTCCAATGCCGAGGTTAATAGAAAGTCGATCCTGGGTACTGTGAAGTATCGGATTACTTCTTGATCTTGAACCATAAATTTTTTAGTACAGCGCATTGAAATGTTGAAATGAGATCTGGATGGAG